CGTGCAGGTATATTTGTAGAATAAATTCCTAGAAGTTAAATTTCTGGGTCAAGGGTATCTACTTCACAATTTGTCAGATATCACCAAGAGCTCTCCATAAAGGTTGTACCAATTTACACTCCCACCCACAGGTATCAGAGTTCCTGTTTCCCCACACCTCAGAGTATGTTTGTTTTCTTAGCTCATTTAAGTAAAAAAAAAGAAAAAAGGGAGGGATACAGAAGAAAGTTTTATCTTAAAACTGTCTCCTGTGCATCATTCCACCTTTAGCGCTTAGAATGTGCCTAGCAAATGTGGCCTGACCTTTTGATGGGACACAATTGGGCAGGTGACAGCTCTCACTAGAAGAAGTGACACACCTCTGGCCACCCCCCCACACCTTGCCCATTTAATTGGTTTTCAACCTAGCACCACAGACCAGCCCCAACTCTGACTGACCCATTCAGGGTGGTAACCGGAAAGTTAAACAACGTTGGTTTTGTCAAAGACTGACAAATCATTCTCTAGCCAAACAAGCTACTTTGGAGTTGATCTCACAAAGTTCCCTATAGAAATGACTGGCTCTGAAAGCATCTGGCTTAATTGATAAGCAGTCCCCAAAAGATCCAGAGAACACTCCAGAGTTTTCCACCCACCTAACAAACTCTTAGAACACAGGAAATGAAGCAAAGTTTCTAAAGAAACCATTTGGGTAACACTGAGTGATGTATACGTAATTTATTGTGTTATTTTTTTAATCGACCCTTGAAGTGATTCAAAATTTCTGAGATCCTTTGAAAATATAATTGCTTGTTTCTCTATTGCACAAAAGAACTGTTATTCCATAATAAAATACATTTTTATAGCTTTTGCAGTAACATCTACCAGGATGTTATTTCCTTCAAGGCATATTTACATATAATTTCCATTGTCGCCTTTTCAGCCTTAAGTATTTATAAGCATTAATGGCTACAAAAATCAACTTTATTGTGGAGTAACGTACATACAATACAATACTCCCATTTTAATAGTATATTTCCATGAGTTTTGACAAACTGATATGCCTGTGTAACCACCATGATTGGTTCTTTAAAAGGAGACAGCTACGTTATCCTGCAATAGCTATTTCATATGCACACCAACATGGACCCTAGCCCTTGAAATGCAAGAATTCCCTGCACAGCTCCACTGGCAGATGGCAATGTAGTCTCTCCTTAAGTGCTTTCCATGTCCAGGGGTTTATTAGTGAGACAAGCCATATTCCATGTTCTATTTCAACAACTACAATCATGTGTGAGAAAGTATTCTTCTCAAACCTAATAGCTGCTCACCTGGAGCAACACAAAGTTAAAAGACCACAGACTTTTGCCTTTTAGATATTTGTGCACAGTTACTCTCTCCCTCTCTCATCCACCCTGTGACTTCTCCAACATAAACAGCTTCAGCGGTTTCCCAAGAACCCTCTCCCTCTCTGCTCACTCTTCCCTGAGGCTCTCCACTTGGCCTCTGAAGCAGCCATTGTGTGTGGTTTGACCTGGGCAGAGGACTGCAGCAACTCCTTTCTCCATCTCTACCCAAATATTTGCTAAGTGCCCAGCATGGGCCAGGCACTTATATATGAGTAAGATTCTGTACCTGCCCTCAGTAAGGTCACATAATTCCATTAATGCAGCCTAATTAACAATTTCAACAGTTGTTTCAGGGTCATGACTCATATTGAACTTGGAATGAATTAAAGTTCACATATATTGCAGTCAAGGCAGAATAATTCCTTCCAACCTAAGTACAAGGCTTTACAGAGGCCCCTGTTAGCTTTTATTACTTTGATTTTTGCCTTATTCCAATAACCAACATAAGACCTCTGGCAAGACATTAATTATTGTTAAACATTAAGGCAGTTAATATTTTGTAGAAAAATAAAGGTGCTCTCTTATTTCTCCTCATTGAAATTAAAAACAGTTTCTGAGTGATGGGTGAGTTAGTCTGTGTGGTTTTACCTACAGTGATAAATATATTGTTTAAACAAAAGCCAAGCTGTGCTGTATTATTTCACAGTACTACCCACTGTGACAGTAAATGAGAGCATAACTTTTCTTTTTCTTTTTCTAAAATTACAGGTGCTTTTCTTGGCAAATTCCTACTCACCCTTCAAGACCAAATGCAGATCACATCAGTTAGGTGAAGACTTCCCTGTTAGCCAGAGGGAAGACCCATCTCTGTCTTTCCTTTGTCTCAGCTCATTACTCTAGCACGCTGCTGGCTCACTTATCCATTTTCATGACTGTTTAGGGTCACCAACTATCCCCATTTCTTGGGAACTGTCCTAGGTTTAGCAATAAAAATCCTAAGTCCTGGGAAACCCCTCAGTCCTGAGCAAATCAGAGAAACCGTTCACTGTACATGACAGTGACTGTTGAATAAAATAGCCATCATTTACGAGAGGTCTAAGCCAACTACTTCACACACATTACCATATTTTTCTAATTGAAGACAACACTAAAAGTAGCTACAATTATCCCATTTTACAGAAAAAGAGAGGAGACTGAGAGAGGTAAGGAGCTTGCCCAAGATCAGAGGCGCCTGGAATTGAACCTAGGTTGGCCTGAGTCATACCACAGTACACTGTATGGCCATCTTACGGCCCGGTGGCAACTCTGCACAGCAAGCTCCGGATAAATATCATGGAATCAGCAATCACGTCATCCTTCTATCACTCAGTGTTGGCTAGGGCTAATATGCCCGTGCTGGTCCTCCATACAGCTACCAGGCATTTACAGGAAGGTCCATGTGATGGGAGGAATATAAAAAGCATACTTACATGCACTGCTTTTAACTTAACTTGCTTTTACGTAAGTGCCACCCGAGAACATGCTGACAATGTGAATGCCAATAAATTGAACATGTCTCATGTTCCCTCACAAAGATAACATGGAACCTATCATGACTTGACTGTTTAACACACTTGACTGTGTGCAGAAGAGAAAATCCAACTGCTAGGCCAGACCCACGGGCTGTCTTCAGGTGGGACTTTCTGAACTGGTGGGAGACAGCTCAGAGTACCTGAAAGAGAGGCCACACTTCTTGGCAAGGAGGTGCTCCTTGGAGGTCAGCTTGCCCTTTGCTGACACTGGAATTTGAGAACTATTACTTCAGCACCCTCCTGCCATGGTATGAGTTACATTTTAGGATCTAAATACTCAGTGTGCACACAGTATCTTTTTTTTTTTTTTTACATTGTTGTAGTTGTAACTCTGATGACCAAAAAGTATCCTCCATCTTTGAATTTTGAACTTCTCTTTTTTTCCCTAACCAAACACCAAATTCTCAACTCCATGATTACAGGGGTTAGGAAGCAACCTTCGCACCCCAAGTCAAAAGAACTGGAACTATGGGGACCATTCCTCCCTATTTTAAATCAGAAGTTCTAGAGAGAGTTCTAGAGAGAACTCAAGAGAGTTTTAAGAATGCAGGGCCAAAGCGCCCCACCCTGCAACCCGCCCCCCTCGAGCGGCCATTGTATGGAGATGCCACACGCACGCTATCTCGCGCAGGTCCTCCCAAAGGCTCCGGAGCCGGTTGCCCCTCCTCCCCTGGAGGGTGTCGTCTGGCTCCCCCGTGACGGGGAGAAGGAGACTAGGAGCCACAGACCCAGCCCCGGCGCCACTTCCACGGTTAATCAGTTTACCTGGGATGTGTATTTGGCTGGACCCCCCTGGGGACCTTCCCTGGCCACCCAGGGTCAGAGGATAATTTAAAAGCTCTTCAAAGCCCGGACCCTTCTCGAAGCCAGCCCAAGACTGGAAACCTGGGAGGGGCAGGTTTTACTCTTCAAAGTGAGAACAAATGCGAAAGGATTTAGCACTTAGTAGGTAGTCAATAAATGTTAACTTTGTTTCTCAGGTCTGAGCTTCCCCTCCCCCACAAAAGCCATCTCCATACAAACCCGATCCCGTCCCTTCATGAAATTCCACAAGACCAGAGATCGTTTGCTTTTTGAACTAGCGGTTGCCGCTTCCCTTTCTCGCCCAGCCCAGGGCTCCAAGGCTCTTTCTCAGACTTCACTTTGTTCGTCTGTAAATCGGGGGAGGGGGGGCATACCTTTGCCGTCCTTCCCAGGTCTGACATCCAGAGGAAATATTAAATTGTGCCCATCACGATTGGTATTTCTAACCCCAGCCCTCCGGAAAAGAAGAGGCTCAAACACGTGGATGCCACAGCAAAGTCTCCATTAAGTCCGGCTTTATAAAGAAGCCCCTCTGGGCTTTCTGTGTTCGGGGACACTGACCAGGGGCGCGCTTTCAACGCACCCCTGGGCACATCTGCCCTGGCAGACCAGCACAATGCAACAACACGCTCTGGCCCCGAGGCACCCACAAAGTGCCCGCCCCAGTTCAACCCATCGCTACTGCTCCGGTCCCTCCTTTGTCCCTGGTGTGAAATCTCCGACAGAAAAATCATCTGCCACCCCGCGGGCTCCTCCAACTGGGCCGCCAAATGGCACAGAAGATCTTGGGCCCAAGCCAAAGTAATCAGTTCCCTGCGGAGGGCTCAGAGGGAGGGATGGGAGGAAATGGGAGCAGAAACGCAGCGGCTGCCAGCGCTGTCCACCAAGGGCTTCCGGGGCTGCTCCTCCGGCTCTCCAGTGAGCCCGTCGGCCTCCCGCAGTCATCCACAGATGCGCGCTGCCCGGGCGCACAGCGGGCCCGGGCAGACCCGGTGTCTGGGGCTGCGCGAAGAACGCACCCAGACCCCGCCACCCTCCAGGCTTCTCTCTCCTTCAGAAAAGGATGGAGGACAGGCTCGACCTCACTTAACAATCTGGCCTCCTTGGGGCTGTGACCTTCACCGCCACCATCACCCAGAGCCACCAGCTTGTCTTCCAGTTTGCCTTCCTTGGAAACTCACGCATACCCCCCCCCACACACACATATACTTGTGAAAAATTAAATGCCCCAAACAGGGCTTAGGACAGCTTCTGTTCCGGTCCCCAACCGGCCCCGGTACTTGCGCTCCGTACTCACCGAGATTGGGGTGTCGGGCGGCGGGGTTGGCCCGGCCGGGCAGGCTGTGGAGGACCGGGCTGTCGAAGGGACCGGCGGAGGCGGCGGCGGCCGCGGCCCAGGACGCGCCCACGTCGGCCATATAGGCTGGGTAGGGGCTGGAGTAGGAGCCCGCGAAGCCGGCCCGCCCGTACTGCTCGCGGCCGGTGAGGCCCGTGCCCGCCGCCCCGCCGCCAGTGCTGTAGGCCGCGGCTTCCCGGGCTGCGGCGGCGGC